ATACTTTGGAGGGATCTCAATTGTTTTTCTTTCTTTGGTTTGTACTTTTCTTTATTAGAATTTGTGAGATTCTGCTTGGTATCACCAGCTGCATTCCTACTTCCATCTGCCCGTCTCCTTTCCTTTGTCTCATTAACACTGGATGGCGACAGTCTTGGTGATGGGTATGCACGCTCAGCTAGTGACTTCGTTAACCGTTTCACATCAACTCCACCACTGGCATTGGAGACCTCTTTTATGACTTGGCACAATTCACGCATGGATATGTGCATTGGCGGTGATGTATACTGAGAACAGCAGTCAGATTCGTCGGGTTCTCTCCTGCCATAATCCATACGGTTTTTTTTTCTGAAGCGTACGTCACGTAGACTGACACATACTTCTTCTTCTGATGATGATGTGTTTGAAGATCGAGGATGGGGAGAAGCTCTTTGATTCCTAGGGAAGTGACGCTTTGCGTCATGGGAAGAAGTAAATTCAGAATCTGACAACGTTTCATACTTTCCAGATTTCTTATCCTTTTTACGTTCCCGCTTCCTTCTTTTCCATGCCTTCCCTCCATCAGCTGCACCATCATCATCTAGTGTGTTGTGCTTTTCCTTCTTTTTTCTTGATAAAGCCTTTCTGTCTTTTTTCCTCCCCTTTTGAGTCATATTTTCACATTCCATGTCACTTGCATCCAAAGAGTCCTCCGAATCAATCTTTCTCGCCTTTTTATCCTTTTTATGATGCTTTTTATAACGATTTTCCAAATCAGAATCGCTCATGTCAGAGCACGTGTCTTCCGAAAAATCTTGGGCTCTCTTTTTATCACTTTTCTTACCTTTTCTTTTCTCTGATTTTCTCATATCCTCGGACCCACTATCAGAGGAGTCATCCCTTGACCTTCGTTTCTTTTTCTTTTCTTTTTCTCTGTCCTTTTTACGCTTCCCTTCTTTGTCTTTTTTGTCTTTGATCACCTCTGATTCGTCATCGGAGTTGTGATGTTTTTTGTGATTTTTACCCTTCTTTCC